ACATGCAAAGCATTTCAATATGTTTGCAAATTCATATAGTCTACTCATAAAATTTGACTTGATTTGCAGAACTGTTACCAAGGTTGCACTGCAATATTCAAGAGAATAATCTGAAAACTATCTGATTGCTAAAAAATACTTTCATAACTTTTCATTCTTCATTGCAGTATATAATGTGTGGAAATGTCTGCTTTGAAAATAGTTTACAGTATCAAAAGATAATAAAATGACTCATTAGCAGATAGCACATTAGTATAAAATTTAATCAGGTATACATTGGCGATACTATATAAATGCAAGTTTCTGTTGCAGTTTAGGCAAAACGTCTTGTATGGATAGATGAAATGAATACATTTTAAATTCTTAAATTCTGCATTCTAACAAAACATGTGAACTGTCCAAAGAATTAAAATACAAATCCATTCATTTCTGCGTAAAATTCAATGGTATCATTATTATAGTCATAGTATATTCACCTTATGGGCCAATAATGAAATGTTAACCTTTCTTATTGCAAAACAATGTGAATGTGCTTTCAGTGGTTAATCCTTTTAGATCCTCAAGTTTGCAAATGCTATATCCTAACTCTCTGAAGTATATTCAGAAGCCAAGTTCTGAAATGTTTTTCTGATCTCTTACACAAACCAGTAGCCCCCATCTATTGAGCCTCAAATTACATTGTGCTGCGTAGACAAACACTCACTGGTGACAAAATTTAAAGCCAAATTAAAATGTTAAAATTAAAATGTTCAATTCATTTTACTCCATGTGTGCATTGTTAATGTCTATATTCTCCATGGGATGTAAGTGAAAACGAAGTTGCTGCTAACACAGTGATATGAATTCTCATGAATCATAGAATGATTACAGCATCTAGTTCAATTTAGGTTTGATGGTATTAATATACTTTCCTCTTCTTGTCCATTTGGACTCTAGTGTATTATTTTTCTGTTATAAAATCGTTGAGGAATTATCAGGAACTTATTTTGTTTGGATATTTTACATACTGTCTCTTCAAACAGTGAAAACCATCATTATGTGTCATAGGGAACTAGAATTTTGTATAATATTGTACAGTGTCTTGCAGTTACATTCTTTAATTCTATCAATCTCACCATTAAAAATACAAATAGTGTAGTGCTTTGCAGAAGATAAATATATCAGTGCAAGGCTGGAAAATACAGAGTTCCATTCCAAATCTCAGAAAACAGGCAGAAAACAGTGCATAGTCTGAATACAAAGGCGAATTGCAAGGCCGGATTTCTACTCTTTTCTTGTTAATTAATTTTAATAAAATACAATGATCCTCGAGACATTAACAGTCATCATCAAACGTATCTCTAAATTTCTGACCTTTTTTCTCATTTTGGTTAAATATAATCACTGATAATGAATAGAAACAATTTCAAAAATATTTTGGAATAGTCTCATAAAGATGGCTTATTTGGGTAATGTAATTCAAAATAAACAATGGCAAATAACAATAACTAGATTTTTAACTGGAACTCATAAATATTATACTTTGTTGCATTTGTGCCACTTTTTTGGGCCACTTTTCTCCACATACTTTTGTAGAAGCATATCCACTGTGTATGTATCTTGAACAAAGTCACACTCAAAAAAGCAGAATTTTCAAGCTGAGCCACCTACATCTTAAACAATTCTTTTTTTCAATAAATTTTAAGTTGATAGATACTTAATGGAACTCAATGTATTGAGAATGCTTCACGTCATGTAAAAATTATATGAATTTATACTGATATACCTGGACCTTTCACACTCATGGAACAAAAAAACCTCGCAATTGCAAATTTCAGAGTTATCTTTATGTATTCAGTTTCCCTCCACTGCACAAGTAATGCAATCTCACATCTGTGTGATATTCCATAAGCTTCTACTAATAAAGGCTGTAGGCAGTGCTTTCTATTAGAAAGTCTGAAAAACATGATGGGATGATAAGGAACAAAACGTCAAATAGGAGCGTGACTCCACATCGGTGATAATGCTGCACTGTTCTCTAACTTTATCTCTGATTTAAAAGGTACCAGTGAATGAATTAGAGGAGCTGTGGAAACGCACCAAAAAATCATGAATGGGCAACTCTCACTAATATGGCCTGATAATAAGAATAATGGCATTACATTAAGAATATACATAACCTGTCAAAAGGATTTTCTAATATATTTATAAAGGACAGAAAGGAGAAATACTGAGTTATCTGCCAACACTGACTTTGCATTGACATAATTTAAAAGGAATTCAGGGGGTATATACATTGTTGATACAACTTTATATTTCACGTTTTGCTGTATTGAGTTTCATGAAATGCCCACAGGTCATTTCTAGTAATTTCAATCTTTTAATGTTTTTTTAAAAAAATAAGCTCAGTGGTTAAATGCACCAAAGATTGTGATGCTGAGCTATACACATTAAGAGCATCCCAATGTCATTATTGTCTAAAACAGAAATCATTGAAGAAACTCTGGCAGCATCTCTGGAGAGAAAGCAGAGTTAATGCTTCGAGTCCAGTGACTCCTCTACTAAATTCATGAGTCTCAGTTGATGCATGAGGCTAAATTGGCTGGAGTGCCCACAGATCGGCGAGTGGGATATCAGAAGCTCCTGTTCTTTATTTAATAATCCTTGCTTGAAAGTACGTCCAAATAGGTATCAGCTAACAATGAGATTAGCCTCAACTGTAATGCTATGGACAGTCAATAGCCTTTAAATACTCATTATCTAGGTTATCATAAGAATGATCACTTGTGAAAGGTACCAGAGGGCCTCTGACACCTATAAAACCATCTCTAAGCATATCAACAGTTTCAGGAAAGGAGAATTTAAAGGGGTAGAATGTTCTGATAAAATAACCTGTATTTATAAAACACCTTTAACATAGTAAAAGAACCCACTGCTCTTAAAGCAATATGATCAATCTTCTTACATCTAGGTACAGTGATGTGGTCAACGTTACTATAGCTAGGTTTAAACACTTCTAAATTTTCCTTTCCTTCCCCAAGTATTGTATACAATTGGACTGTAATGTCTAATGTTTCAGCAGTCTGATTCCTCCAGTGACATCTGGGAAGAACACTTGAGACAACTGTAGGATTAGACATTGTCAGCAATTAGTGTTTTGCAGAAAGTGCAATTTGCTTTAATGAACAAGATAATCGACTAGGATTGCTGGGTGGTCAGTATTTCTGAAGGGCAGATTGGGGATTTATAGGAACATTCAACACACATCTAAATAAATTGCCATTAAGATCATGGAGTAAAATTGACCATGGTTATCACTCCTTCTGCCACTCATTATTTATACATTGAAACATCCCATATCTCAGAGACAATGGAAAGAGAGAGATGTGATTGAACAAAAGCTGCAAAAAGTTTCAATGACATATTCATAAAAAGGTTAAAGATCTAAAATTACTTTAAGCTCCAATGATATTGAACAAAAAATACATGCAAAGGCCTATTTCTCATAATAAACAAAGTTACATTTTTGCTGTTGAGGAGAACAACCTTTAGGCACAATTTATCAGTGTGGACCTAGCTGCTAAATGAGGTACCTAGTCAATGCAGAATAATTATTATGCAATAATGGGCATCTTTTACTGTAAGAGGGAAGTAATTTAAGACAGGTAAAAGCCAAGAGTCCACCTCATGCTTACAACAGCATCAATAAATATGTGAACAAACTATTACCAGGTTATATAATCCATTTTTAAGTATTTTCAAAATGAATCCTGCTTATTATAGCAAAGATTCCTTTTGTTAGAATCAATCTGTTTCACATCATGACAACGCAATTCTCTGACACTTATGAATTTATGACCCATTTTTCCCCATTATAAATAGAAAGTCTGTCTATGAAAAAGACCAACTATCGCTAAGGCCTGATGTTTTTCTTTAGGTGCCTCTTCAGTGAAGTATCTGAACCTTAACATTTTCTGTCACTTTGTTCTTTCTGTCTTTTTGAAGTTACTAAACCATCCATATTCGAACATAAAAAAAAACCTTCTGCCTCTCATTGTTTATACATTGAAACATCCCGTATCTCAGAGACAATGGAAAGAGAGAGATGTGATTGAACAAAAGCTGCAAAGTTTCAATGACATATTCATAAAAAGGTTAAAGATCTAAATTTACTTTAAGCTCCAATGATATTGAACAAAAAAAATACGTGCAAAGGCCTATTTCTCATAATAAACAAAGTTACATTTTTGCTGTTGAGGAGAACCTTTAGGCACCAAATTCTCTCATCAAACTACAGCTGGATAATATTAGTCATTTCCATATAAATACAGTCTGCAATCTACATTTTCCATCTGTACAAGTTAAGAACTAAATGACTAAAAATCAATGAGACATTAATCAAATTGCCCTGAAAATAGGAATGAGCATGTGGTTGCTAAATTCAAGAAAGCAAGCGTCATACTCGACTTCTTCACTCTTAAAAACCGTTTCTGCCTCGACCCTACAATAGCAAGAACCTAAATCATTGAATTAGTATCAGATTGTATTGAAATATTTAATGTTCTAATTCTCAAAGACAACTTGAAGAAGATAACTGAATTTTGATTTCATTTGCAGCAAGTTAGATGTTCCTTTGTAATCAGGCAGGGGATTAGGTAACCAGTTGTGTCGTTGCAAACATGAACCTTCCTTTTAAAATATAATTCATTAATTTCCTTCCATGTTTGTTAAAGATGCATTCAATAAAAGCGCAAGAGGAGGGTTAAATGTTCAATGTTACTTTAAAATAAGTTGAAATGATTGTTGATTTAAGTGCGCCCCCTCTCTTAGGTTTCTTTCTGGGACAGTGTAGCTTTAAGCGTTTCCACTGTCATTTGCCCAGCGCTTCATGTTTTGTCCGGATCAGACGAATAAACCACAAAGCAGATCATAGTGCGATAAGCACCAAACGTCAGGGGGTGGAAGGGATGAATAAACTGCTGCAACAAGAAATTAAACTTCATCTAAAAGTATGATCTCACCTGATTTATGGAACTGTTTTGGCTGATGCAACATAAATCGCCGGAATCGAAAAGCTGCATATGTAAAGTTTTTTTTAAAATAAATCTGTGCAGGCGACTTCAGTGATGGTTTCAAAAGACTTGTTTTTCTTGCTCCAGTCAGTTGTTTGCCCAAGGGATTCGGCGATTGGTTCATTTCCTCTTTCACGGGCTCAGATTTCTTGTCTTTTTTTAATGAATGACCTGACTCAGTCAATGACATGACATTGACAAAGATTCCAGCCTATGAGAGGTGAGAATCGAGGTGTTATATTACCTGGAGACGGAACACCCACCTCCAGCTCGAAAACCAATCAGAATTCAGAAGCTCTGTTCCATTCATAGTTCCTCTGCAATGGCCTCTCATTCACAAAAAAAACTTTCAAGGGGTCATTCATAAAATCTGGAAGCAGTGGAAGTGAGTATTTATTCAGACCTATTTTTAAGGTAAGACTGACTGAATTTTGTTAGAATCAAATTTTTCAAAGCAGAAATCTTATACATAAGGTTTCTTAACTCAAAAGTTTGAAAAATAAGTTCATTAATTAACAGGTATCCCCAGTTATTTTCTTCAGATCTAGCTCCAGCATGATACACAGTGAAGCACTGTTTACAGAGAAGAGCTGGAGTCAATTTGCATTAAGTCTTGCCTTAAGTTGCATAGGATTATGAGGCATCAGGCATTCATAACAGTTGCATCATTGAAATATTTCTCCAGCTTAGTTTCCACAGACTACTTGATACATATGTGTGACTTAACCCTTTAAATCAACCCCCCTACACACACAAACACACACACAGACAAATATGTGAACAATATATTTGTGAGAAGTCGTCAGGGCATTTTTAAAACGTGTTTTCAGGGTGACTCGGGAACACCATTACTGAAGCACTGTACTTGACATATCACAATGGCAATTGTATATTAACAAACATGATTCATGTACAAAGACCTAGTAACATACGAGAAACATTAACCTCAGTTTAATAGATGATTTATTGGAGATATAACATTTAGCATACATAGATGGAAAATATTTTTGTTATTTGTGTTTGAACCAAAACACTTTAGGGAATCAGTTTTAATGGAGTGTCGAGGAAATTCTGAGGATAACATTATTGATTTCTAAGATTAGGAATGTCCTAAGTATTAACTCTTCATGCGCCAGTGGCAAGAACTGCTTACTTCTATAAAGCATTGTAAGAAATACTCTGAAACCTTTCACAGAAAGGGGCTGATGAAAAACAAACACTGAAGCACAAAGACAGCTGATGAAGCACCAAAAAATTGTTAAAGAGTAAAAAGAAAAGATCATTACTTGGGTGAAAGAGAAGTGAAGATGTTTGGAAAGGAAGGCTCAGAGCTTAGAATTCTGGCTGCTCAGTGATTCCATTTTAAAGTTGATGTGAAGGGAAAGGAAGACACAAAAGATCAGAATCAGAAGTTAGAGTGTTAGAAAAGAATGCAGGACTGGAGCAGATTGCAGTGACAAAGTGGAACATAACTGTGGAGTGATTTATAAATAACAGCAATATTTAAAATGTAGTATTTGGGGAATAGGTGTCCACTGTGGGTCAGTGAGGACTGGATGAAGGGGAGGCGGAACTTAGTACAGGAGTGGATCGAACTGAATATACCGCTAATATTTCAGGGGCAAGAAATGTCTCTTTACTTTTCTTTTGGCACTGCAGCTCCCGTTAGTACTTGAAATGGATGTCAGCTGCATTGGAAGAATGGATTTGACTCCATATTGGTACCAGTAGTATTTCACAAGAAATGAATGTTAACCCAAAGTATACAGAACAGGAATAAAGCATGATGTCAGTTGGTGTGCCACTCAGATTTGCAGCTCAATAGTCGAAGCAGTTGTGAAATAGAAACATGGTAGAACTAAGAGAAACCATTCCCAGAGATCACTGACCAGTTCTGGATAAGCTAGAATGGAATTTAACAAGGGGGCTGTCTCACAAAGATAGAAAATGGAGGACTGGTGTTGGGAGGAAAGTGACTTGGTCAGTTCTTTTGAATGCTATGGCAAGTTAGAGAGGTTGAGACATTTTTTGTGATAACCATAATAAGTTCTTATTTATTCAGCAGGGACAACTGTATTTCAGACAACAGTACTAATGTTACATTGCCAGAAGTGCTCACCTCCAGACAAAACATTAAAAATGAGACCCTACTCAGGTAATGGTCTTGTGTAACTATTCAAAGGAGGTCTATGAAAGTCAACATTTACCCCACAACCAGCATCACCAGAAACAGAAGAGCTGATTGTTCAGATTATTATTCTCTTTGGGTTCTTGTTGTGTGCAAACTAGTTGCTACATAATAAGTGATTGAATATTAACATGAGGCACTGCAAAATGTTTCTAAGACTGAATAAGATGTTACATAAACACAAGGCTGGCTTTATACCTGCTTGGAATTGACACAAAAGGAAAATAAATTTTGCCCAGAAATACTGACGCCTTCACCATTTGGCATTCTCATTTTCTATCATCAGTAAAATTTCAGCAGCAGTGGTAAGAAACTTTAGTGTTGTTAAATGGTCGCTTATGGACCTCTGTTGGCCCCAGTGTTGACAGGCTGCCAAGCAACTCTGTCATCCTAAAATGCACAAAGTAGGTGGGTAATGGGTATGGCACAGCCACCATGACACCCAATTCTACCCCACCCCCATATACCAGCCCAATTCTGGAAGGGCAGTAAAAATCTGCCATGTAAAACTCCTTTTATAGTGCTAGTTATTCAGGCAAGGATTCAGGAGATCAACATCTTTGAACCAGCTGTGGGTCTTTGCATCACCAAATCTAATTTCCTTATTCTAGTGGTGACATCATTGTCCCCAGGAAGCCTGGCTGATGTATTTTGATACCATTGTAAGTGTACATGGGATTGTAATTACTGTAAGCTGTCACAGAGATGGTGTCCCAGAAACCAAACTAAGAAGCACTGCACAAAAATAACTAAGGAAGAGAATATGGAAATGAAACACTGCTCTTCATATCACCTATCTGAGCCTATTCTCTTACAGCAAAGTGAAGATCTAGTTTCCTGTCAACATATTTCCAAGATTTCCCTCCTGGAGTAGTTAAACCATTCTCTTAATGCAAGTGCCAAATCTTTCTATATGCCCCCTGGTTTGTAGAAGTTTTTAATCAAACTTTGCAGACACATTACAACACATGTTGGGGAAGGTGGGATTTTAAACATGACCGTCTCGCCCACAGGTATCACTGTACCACAAAACTCTCCAAAATTCAGTGCCACATGTTTTGATTTACTCCAAAGTATTGTTTTCTTGCCATTTCCAAGCCAGGAGTGCACACCAGAACTCCAATGAGCTTTTATGTGCTGTATCCTTTTTGATATGAAGGATTTGAAGACTACAACAGCTTCTGCATGTTCTACAATCAGCTTATTCTTCCTCTACTCAGTATATCAACCAATTTCCATTATGCATTGAACTATCAAAGAGCTGCAAGTCATGGAATCTCTAGGACAGGAAGAAACCTCAGGTTGTGTCAGCTTTATTAAAGAGACATCTGATTAGGCAAGGCAAGGTAATTAGCCACAATGCACAAGGGAATATAGACATCTCACTCTATCAGACAGAAACAACTGGATGTATAGCTTGAAGGACACTAACCTCTTCGTCAACCCTGGGTCAAACAAGCAGACAGACAGCAATGAACTACCACAGCCTGCTTTGAGATTGAATCCATCTGCACCATACTTTTGCCATCCAACCAACTGAACTAACCTATCCCCACATAGCACCGTAGGAGACTGTTTGGCCCATCAAGTCTGCAAGAATAATTCACTGAGTCCCATTTCCCAACCTTTTCTCCTTCAGGTGCAAAGTCAATTTCCTTTTGAAAGCCACAACTGAATCTTCCTCCACCACTCTATCACAGGCAACAATTCATTCCAGATCCTGACCACTCACAGCAACAAAAAATGTCTTCTAATTGTTACCGTTGCTTCTAATGATCGATACAACAACAGGAACAGTTTCCTTCTATCCACTCTATTCTGAATATATTTATCAAACGTCTTCTCTGGAGAAGACACCCAGTTTCTCCCTGAAATTGCTAATCCTGAAATCTTTCTCATGAATCTTTTTTACATCCTCTCTAAAATGTTCTGATCCTTACTAAAGTGAAGAGCCCAGGATTGGAAACAATACTTCAATAAAGGCCAAAACAGTTTCATAAAACTTCACCACACTGTCCTTATTCATAAAGCACACAATATTGTATTTTTTAAGCATTTTATCAACCTGTTCTACTACCTTTGATAATTGTTCATAGCTATCCCACGGTACTTCTATTCCTGCATCCCTTTCCCTGTCATTTATCTTCATCATATTTTTATTCACTCTTTCTATCAAAATATATTAGTTCACATTTCTCTCTGTTAAATTTCTTCTGTCATTTCTCCTTGGACCTTTATATTATCCTCTTCATAATACATCCAAGTTTTGTGGCATTTGCAAATTTTGAAATTGTGCCCAATTAATCTCACACCCTGTTCTTTCCCCATAGCCATGAAAAATTTCCTTTTCAAATATCCATCAAAGCCACTTTTGATTGTCTTATGACCATTGCTGTTACCTTTCAGTTTTTTTCATTTAATCCCTTCTGCTTTTAACTCTATCCACAGACTTCCCCTTTTGATAAAACAAAGAACCACAGATACTGGAGATCTGAAACACACAAAAATAAAAGTTGCTGGAGAAATTCAGCAGGTCTAGCTGCATTTGTGGAGAGAAAACAGAGTTAACCTTTCAAGTCCAGTGACCATTCTTCAGAACTCAGCTTCAGAACTGTGCTTTCCTCTTTTGATTCTCCTTTCCCATGATCTCACTCACTCATTTTCCTGCTTCTGTGCATGTTATATCTGCCACTTTTGCCAGTTCTGATGAAAGGTCACAGACCTGAAACGTTGAGTGGAATTATCTTGTAGCAGCAGGATTGTTGGTGGGGACTATCTGGCAGTCCCGTTTGGGTCATATATGACCACACACACCATCAATTCACTGCCAACTCCATTCCTGAGTGTTTTAGTTGCAAAAGTTGACATTT